GAGATCAGAAAGCGGATTGGAGATACGAGAATCTTTAATTTCTTCATCAACACTAAAGTACAACAGGGTTACAAGGCAAATAGTCTGATCGTTTGTCTCCAATCTTCTAACAACCAGTATTTGATGAGACAACGGCCGACATTAATGTTTCCCACCAAATGGAGAACAGTTCGCATAAACAAACCATATGTTGCTCATCCAGTATTCACCAACATTGACTGAAGCTGTTCAGTTAAATTCTTTGTCTTTAATACTGAGTTAGACTAATTTTGAAACAAGAGCAGTCATCACAAAAGGAAGTCAGAATAACACTAACATATATTTTATTGCAGTTTAAACCACATACACACTATACTACCTACACCTATTTACTCCTCTATATGTGGCAACAACAATAATGTTTCATTTATTGTCAAGATTAGTGTTAATCCATTACAGTGTAGGGTGACAAAAATCCTGAACTATATTGTTCAATTTATAGTTCAAATCTGAAAATAACAGTCAAACAAGTATGCACACGTAAACACTGACTTTATATCAGTGTTAAAGGTTTGGATACTGTTCGTTGTGCAGATTGCTGAAGATCACAACGATTTCAGGATAGTGAACGCCTGACTTACTTTGCCGATCATGTCTGTCTTTGACATCCTCACCTGCGCAACATGTGTAAATAACTTCAACATCTTTCAACTTTACCGCAAATACAGATTTCACTGAGGGGTATTTGGTCGACAGACTTCAGTAATCTGTAGAACAGTAATAGAGTGATTGGGATTAGAAACATTGAGATATCCTTGTGAACTCTTGTTAACACTATTCAACGAAATAAATACATCCCGCTTCAATAAGAATATAATATTGGTATATATTAGCATATACTGTTATATATATTTGTAGAAATCTTCGGGTAAAATTAAACATCGAAAACAGTAGTATAGTTAGTAAGAACAGACCCTGGTGGGTGCGTACTGATGAAGAGTCTCAAACTATGAAGAAACAGCTGTCCAGTGCTCCCAGGTTTTCCAATAGTTCTCTAATTGATGTCGGCTCATGAAGGAATCCTACAAACAATCAAAGAACGCATTAGTAAACTTCTCTATTTTCTTCTTTCTGAATTTTTACTTTCGTAACTCGAATAGATAAAATTTCTGAAAATAAGTTAGGATTATATTATTTAATCATTTTCTTCCTGGAATCAGTCAGAATTTCAGCGCTTATGTACAGACAGTGAATTTATACGCATCAGACGCTTGATGCATCACCAAAAGCATTTCGAACAGCCTTCTGATAGCTTTCGTCAATAACTGCATCCCTCCGCTCGATACCGATGCTGGTCAGAAAGGATAAACACGCAACAACGAACTCTGTTAACAAACCAGCCAACAACACATTGAACAACGAAAATACGGGGACAAATAGACATTTAAGTGACATTACACGCCGGAATTTATAGCTGAAGCCAAGTGCAAAGTGACGAGTAGGGTGTACATCTGAGCGTGACACGGAGATTATCATGTGAGGAGTAAATAAAAAATTGTCTGCAGTCGTGGAGCCATTTGAAAGGAATGGGAGATAAATCAGTGGTACAAGGATGTACCATTGAAGTCTTATGCTCCCCCATGGAACCAAAGAATTAAAACATGTATATTAATGACCGTGAATCAATAAATAGTTTTAATGATCATCTAATATTACAATTTTTTATAGAAACTGATATTTATACAATACAACTACTTCAATCTATCCACTTGTCTATCATATTGTAAATGGGAAAAAGATATTGAAGGGAATACTGTGTAATATAATTACACCTGTATTCCATCATCTGAGTAATGTGAATACAATTACGTCTATGCAAGGATAATGAAGATTTTGACGCATGACATATGGTTAGTTACATCATAAAGAGAACGTTCAAGGGAATAGCCTAAATTGATGTATGGAATAAGTGTTGAGAGGATTTTTTTCACATTCGCAACAACATATAGTGTCCATTAATACAGAATAAGTGTGTAAACGATTTATATATTCCGAAATAATGGAGAATAAATTTATACATTCATACCACTTTGCATATTTATGATTAATAAGGAAAAGAATTAGAAGAAATGGAATGAATTCATTCATCATGTGATTCAGGATATTTTTATAGGCTTATAAGTTTTTATTGAACGAATGAATTTTATTGTAAACAGCATTCACATCAAGACAACTATGTTTATTATTATTATTTTTTATTCTTTTGCGTTCCGAGTGGAACATGGGACTTCAAGCTTTAAGGTTTACAGTTTCAGTAGCAGCGGTATTTTTCTTACAGGGTGAGATTGCTAGCCTCACGTCCAACCTTCCCAATTTACATGACTTACTACTGGCTAAATGACGTTCAGGTGAGCATCTGCCGAGAATCAGACCCCGGAACACGTGCACCTTTGGCGAGCATTTTACCAGTGGGCCATCGACGCACCCTGATCAGTATTACTATTATATTATTATTGTCAACATTTATTAGTTGCGATCCAAGCGAAATATTAGGCTTCCCTGGCATATCTCCATTTCAATCGGTTCTATGTTCGAGAAATAAGGATAAACTACCTAATTTCGCCTCTTCTATGTATGTCTACCAGTTTGACTGCAGATGCGGAGCCAGCTACATTGGGCGTACAATTAGGCAGTTTCATCGTCGTATTTCTGAACATCATCCAGCGTGGTCAAGCAAGGGACACACAAGATCTATTCGTAGTTCTATTTTAGCACACCTTGTTGATACTGAGCACAAGGTTGATGTGAATACTGCATTTAAAATTATTTAGCGCATTCCGACTAATCTTAACTTTGCTCTGCGAGTTTGTCTTCTACAGACAGCTGAAGCAATCGGAATCCACCAGAAGAAACCAAGCCTATGTGTACAGAAGAAATTTGTACAGCCACTTTCCTTACCGTGGCCATCGTTACAAGAGAGGACTACGTCGCCCCCTCCCCCTATTAAATTATAATTGTCCAAATTATTTTATTTTTATTTTGACCACTTCATCTTTAACTACGTGTTATTCTTGTAAAATTTATTTATTCTACCCATTTCTACTTTTTAAATGTGTATTGATTTTCTGCGTTAATTATCAACCCATTGACATTTTGACACTGTTTTATTATTGTTAACAAACATATCACCACTTGTTTGGTAAATTGTTGTGTATTGTAAAAATGCTATATATATTAGAGTTGAGCCAGAGAAGAGGATCTAATTGAAAAGTAAATATTTCTTCGCTCAATCTTTCTGTTTTTCAATCGGTTCTCTCCCATCAACTGTCCCAACAACTGCCCAATAGCTTTTACGTAGTCTTCACACGATCTTCTCTGTGTTAACTTTGAACCCACAACCAACCCAGCGCTTTCTTCTGAAGAGGAAATATAAACATAGATTCACTTAATCCAGAAGGTTTTATGGTTTCCATTGTCAGTGCTCATGTTTTTTACAAAGCTACACTAATTATAAAATACTGGGAACTCAAAATGCAATCACTATTAGCTTTGTCCTGGATTGACACTGTCCAGTACACAATAGTCATCACTGTATGAGATACTAACTGCCCAGGTGATCTTATTCGAGGGATGTTTTTGTTAGGAACAAGCTATTTTAAATATCCGAGACTTAGAAATGCATATTATCCTTTGTATTGAATGTTCTCATTCAACGGTTACTGATAACTCATCAGTCATGTTTTGCGATCACACTTTTGGATATATAAGAATGAAATTAGTACTGCTCTTAGAAATCTGCCTTCAGCAGCTCGTGATAATGGGCATCCTAAAACTACGTGAAATGTTATAATAAAAATAGTTTGTGTTTGCTGTCTGATAAATGAAGGCAGTACTTTCTCATGGTGAGACCAGCTAATGATGACCACCTGTGACTATGTGTTGGCAACTTTACATAATGTTTCTTATTTCTCCTCTGCTTTTCATCTGATCGAACTTGAAACTTCTACTGGGCAGTTTCAAACTTTCATGAGTTTCATATTTCATACGGACCAGTGGTTATATCTCAAATTGCAGTACTCTGTAGCTTGGAACAAGATATGCGATGTAGTTACTTTAGTATGCAGCAAGACCATACCCTGAGGAAATCATCAAGTGACATCACTAGACAAGCCTTCGAGTGGAACTCAAAAGGGATCGGCGAGTTGGTCGTCAGTGCAAGGTTGATTTGGAGAAGGTCATGTGAAGAGGAGATGAAAACGTGTGGGCAGACTTGGAGCCAGGTGAAAACTCTAGCATAGAACCGAACGCAATGGAGACGCATGGCTGAAGCCCTATGTTCCTCTAGGAATTAAAGGAAATAATAATAAGGCTGAAATCTAAGTTAAACATTGTGAACTAGACATACTTTTAAAAATTTATAGGTATAACTTTCAAATGACTTGACAGACTTGTCAGGTGCATCAGGGAAATACTGTGCTAACCTACTGAAAGTTTTGAGTCGAGGCGATTATTTCAAAGGTTGGCAAGTTGTTTATTTATTATTCCTTTGCATTTCCCCCCGGAGTATAGGGCTTCCAGCTAGAGGCTTGAAGTTTCTGTAGCAGTGGCGATTAATTTTACAGGATGGGGTTGCTAGCCCTATGACCAACCTTCCCCCTTCACCAGTCTTACTACTGGCTTAGCGAGGTAAAGGAGTGCGTCTGGCCAGGAATCGAACCCTGGACCACTTGCGCGGTCGGTGAGCACTCTACCACTGTGCCACGGACGTATGGCAAGTTGTTTTACCATATCTCAAACGATTATTGCTCAATATTATCCCTGTTTGATTGTAAAAATTCATGGGACATAGAAATTAACGTTTTCTGATCAACATTAACTGAAGCTCATGATGCCATCACTTTTATTCCTTCTAAATATGATATAGTAACAAAGTGTTTTAGACCAACAGTATACATAGCTAAATTTTCAATTCTTTCTCATCCTTTTTGCTTTTCATTTTTTTAAAATCAAAATGAATGTAGATTGATGAACAGTATACAAATCGATTTTGTTCAAACCTTGAAGAATCTATGCAAGAATTAAGACGTTATGCTGAAATGGTTCCAGGATTTATGGCTTTGTCAGCACACGATCGTGAGGTGATGCTAAATCTGCATTTCCTTGACCTACTAAGTTTTCGATTGGCCTGGAGGTAAGTATTGTTTTTATCACTTTTTTTTCAAAATACTTAATCATCGTCACCGTCGAGATGCTGTGTGCAATGATATAAACTGTACCAACTACTCTCATTCTCTGGTAAATGAAATTCACACTGTAGGTAATGCAGGCATGTAGGCATCTGTCTGTCTCTAGCTTCCCGTTGAAATTTATTGACCTACTGGTCTGAATGATCTGACAAGTTGGTGTGCTCTATGGTCATTTTAAATGTGGACAGAGTAGCCTAGCCTTGTAACTCACCGGTAATGTTGATCTCTACCTTGAGATTATCATTCAAATAATTCAGTACCACAACCATGAAAATTATCCTTATATCATTCAAGTCACAGTTTCCTTCCAACTGATACCTAATACAAGTTGCCGAAACGACATCCTCTACAATGCACAGCATTGTCTTCTCACGACGTTTATAAGCCACCGTACTGCATACATGATGGATTGAAAAACACCTGTTTGAAATACTGAGCTACCTGAATTTCCACCCAAATCAATGCTTCATATTTTCCCTAATTCTTATTGTTTAACGATTCACTCAGGTTCATGAGTCACTAAATGTACTCAAAGCATATTTCTAACTGGCTTTCAAACTACCGTTTCGCATTTCTTGGAGACGAAGGATAACTATGATGATTAGGGATTAGGCAGTGCTTCAGATCGTAAATCATTGCGCCACATGATATAATATAAACTGCTATTTTACTTATTATTATTTATTATTGTTCCTTTGGGTTCCTAGTGGAACATAGGGCATCAACTACACGTCTCCACTTGCTTCTGTCTTATGCTGTACTTTTCACCTCCATCCATGTTAGTCCATACTGTTTCAACTCTTCTTCACACGATCTCTTCCATGTCACCCTTCGATGTCCCACTCGCCGCTTCCCTTTCGGGTTCCACTCGAGCTATGGCCTGACACGCGATGTCACCCAGCGGCCTCATCAGCGAGTGTCCAATCCATCTCCACTTTCTCCTGCATATTTCTTGGGCGATTGGTTCTTGTTTTGTTTGTTCTCATAGTTTCTTGTTGGTGATTCTTTCCGGCCATCTGATCTTGAGTATAGAACGAAGACGGTTGTTGATAAAGGTCTGCAACCTGTTGAAAATATTCTTGGTGACCCGCCACGTTTCTGATCCGTAAAGCAAAATTGACTTCACGTTTGTATTGAAAATCCGAATTTTGTTGTTGATGCTGAGTGAGTGACGAAGATTTCCAGATTGGTTTCAGGTTGATGAATGTGTTTCTCGCCATCCCGATTCTCGATTTGACATCCTCGTCCATTCCGATGCCTGTAGTTGAGACAATGCTCCCTAGATAAGTGAGTGAATGAAGTAACCTCTTTCAAATCCCTCCCGTTGATGGTGATTGGCACTGGATGTTGCTGCTGCTGTTGTTGTTGTTCGTTGGTGATTTTCATAACCTCCGTCTTGTCTATGTTCACCTGGAGTCCTGTCTTTGCTGCCAGCGTCTTCGACCAGTTTGTCGGTTTTCGCTTGTAAGTCTTCGATTTTGTGTGACATCAAACATAAATTACCCACGCGCGAAATCCAAGTCTTCTAGATTCTTCACGTCGGTCCAGGATATCCCTGTCTCCTCGTTTCCTACTGTCTGACGCATAATCCAGTCCACCACAATTAGGAATATCATTGGTGATAATAAGCACCCTTGTCTGACTCCTGTGTTTACTCCAAACGCCTCGCTGAGTTTTCCGTTGTGGATCACTTGACATGTTCCGTTGTCGTACAGCTGTTGAATAAGGTTGATGAATACTTGGGGTACGCCGTAGTACTCGAGTAGTTTCCAAATTACTTGGACATCATGAATGAAGACAAAATATTGTGTTATAAATTGTGCTGAGAATTCTGTGTGTCGTGTAAGCATTTTTACTAGAATACAGTCGTTATTACTATTAATAAAACCACTTCAACTACTATTAATTAAGTCCTGCAACAGTTCCCTTGTGGCTTAAATAGTTATGCGTAATAAATGATTGAAGATGGCATGAAAATCTGTTTCATTGAAGGTTTCTAACCAACAACCTCCGGTCTACTTCAATAGCTATCTTCCAGTCTAAGGCTATCCAAAACAATGTGACCATCAACTACATAATTTTAGACTGGAGTGAATTTCTAAGTGAATGATGCGAGTGTGAGGGTCAGAGCGAGTTTCCCGAGTATTGTGTACTTGTCTTGATGATGTCGGCTGAAAAGCACGGGAATCCAAACCAAGCATATCTGTCTACCTACTGATTCACAAAAAGCTAAGAAAATTTTCCTTATCTTAAATAGAGAATTGCATTCTAGAAAAAATTGTCAACGTGTGAATATGCAGTTCCATATTATTTTGATTATCGGATTTATCACACAGTGAAACAGTATTATTTACTAATGATGTCTCGAAAACAATTTATTATCCATAATCATACTATTAATTGTAACTATATGACTTCGAAATTCGATTGCTGTAATTCTTCTTCTTTCTTCCCATTTTCCGTAATGGTTGTAGAACTTTCAAGATCTTCGAGATGGGTATGGTATTATTCCTGTTTTGCGCATTCTCATACGATCCCGTAAATAAGGCTTCAGTTATCAATCTCTACTTCTACCCTGTTACATTAGATTTTGAAACAATCGCCTCGTCCAATCCTCTTGTTTTTTTATTACAGCTTGATGCCACACCATATTTTTGGTGCTAGTATGTAATTTTCAGCATGGATATCGGTAGCCCAAATTTTGCAGGCCAACCATAGATATCGCGTGTGCGTCGGCAGGGGATCGAACCCCGGACCATGTGCATGGTTGGCGAGAGTCCTAACCACTGTGCCACCGACGCATTTAATGTAATGGCTGAGCTTTTTCCCAGGTTTATGATCTTAGTTGGGTCCACTAATCTGGTATATTATTTATTATATTCTTCAAAGTTTTCAGTGGAACATAGGACCTCAAGCTAGAACTTTGAGTTTTCGTTATCAGTAATTCTTTTTTCTATTTTTTACGGGATGGAATTCTGACCTCATGCTCAAACTTCCCTCTTTACCGGTCTTATTACCAAAGTTTGGAAGAACGTTGTCCAGGGATCGAACCCCGGGCCACTTGCGTGGTTGGCGGGCATTCTGCTGCTAAGCCACTGACCCAGAGAGATATATGATAAACTCAAATATTCCATTTAATAAGCGCCATAAGATAGTTTTACCGTCATAATCTGTTTTCAGCTGACATTAATGGTTTGAACGCTGCCTATATTCCTGACATTTTGAATCTTACGAGAAGTTTCATAGGTTTTATCTCTCTATGATAGCCCCACTTATGTTTGCAATTCGTCTTCATTTGTAACTGTAATTCAACCTGTGTGATCTGTGTAAGGGATCTCACTAGTATTTGAGAAAATGGGCAATACAAGAGTAATCATAAGCTTCCTGAGTTGGGTGGCTTAATCGCTATGCCTTCACACTGAAGCTATTGCTGGTGATGGTGCCCAAAACAGCAACAAAAGCAGTGCAATTAAACTACGCAGCTTAGTGACCTCGAAAACATGCAAATCGCCCACCTGGACTACGAATCACCACTATTTCAACTCACTAAAATGTAGTTTTCTATGTGCAGCCAAAAATTTAATGACACCATGATGACTAACTTGTTTCATTTCTAAACAACTTAACTCCTGTTCTTCAATCCCATCAAACACTACCACCTGAGTAAATCCTATCAAAGGGTTTAAGTTACACTTTTTAAATTTTTAACAAATGGTTCACTTTATATTTTACCGGGAATATAATTTTTCCCACCTTATTGAGTTGTTCGCAGAGTGAATAGCCAACGTGTCGCTTTCATTTGCGTCTGATGGTGACTTTGTTAATAATTAGACAACCCTGATCGATTTTACTGCCTTCGATTCATTTTGAACTGAAATCTTTATTCACGAAGCTATATGCTACTGATTAAATGATATCAGTAGTTAGATATCATTCACATCAAGCAGTAATGCTTGCTAGTCAGATCAAAATGATCTAAATACCAGACGGTCATTTCGCCCATTTGGAGCCAATTTCATTAGCGTTGTACCTAGTTTGATGCAGGTTAAATAGCCAAATCTATTAAAAACTGTCTGAATTCTGACTAGCTACCAGTCTTTAATGACCTTTTACCTACCTACTTTCAACAATGAAAAGCTAGCAAAGAAATGAATGTGGTGTCCAGTTGTTCGTTGGACAAGCTTATACAGTAGTGGGGAATAATTAAAGAATAAACTGACAACAACCTGAAACAGTTACTCGGAAGTTTCTTAACGGTTTCTTGGTACCAGATAGACTTTCCCTCAGAGGTATTCGTCGTACAAGCTGTCACTTTACCACTGATTCTGAGAAACCTTTCACCCTTATCTTAAACTGTTGTTATTACATTAGCTTTCTTTCACATATCCAACGCTATTCAGCAAAAGAATGATATTAAAACGTAGAAACAGCAGGAAAATATCCACTTCTAGGCTACAATAATAAGGGTGTTTATTACAATTCAACAGTATGACATATTTTATATCAAACTGGAACCGTCACTCTTTTCTCAGCTTTCTGACACGCCACATAACCTTCGGACAATGGATCGCAGGTCCGCGTACCTCTCTAGATGTCGTGCTTTACGGACTATCAGGTAATATCCTTAGGCTTCACACAAATGATTTTACTCAATGATTACCACCTTACCATACAAGCGGTTGACGAATACTATTCTCCTGACCTGAATGAATGGTCATTGGAGGAGTTTGGAAGTGGCAAAAAACACTCATAATGAAAAGCTAAACTTCAAAAGATAAAAATTTATAAAATTTCTTATCTGAATTTCTCGCGGATTGATTTTATCGGTCTCAAATATTCAGTCTCTTCCAATATGTCGGTTTTTAATGCAGGTGCTTCGACAATGCCTTTTGTCTTAACATAATATTGGTTAATTGACATTCGCTAGTATTAAAATCTAGGATGC